TGCATGTGCATGGTAGCCATGTCTCGCAGGCCTCTGCCTGCTATTCCACGAGGCATTGGTCCAACCACATTTGAAGCGCACTTGAAGCGAAAAAGCCCGTTAGATGCCACTAACTATTCTGGTAACCGCTTATGCACCGAATGCGGAAGCCCATAGTGGTGCCACGTGGTACCGTACTTTTTGGGAATGGAACTATACCATGCACGAATCTACCCCGCACTAACCGCAGATTGCCGTACACGTAAGGACTGTCAACTGTGAATGCCACGGCAAAAATCCTGGGCGGCTGACGTGCAGTCGCGTGAGATTCGAGCTGCCTGAGCGGAACTCCGAATCTGCCTGGCGTCTCCTTCACGTGCTTGTCGAGCCCAGGTCCGAGCTCTGGAGAACTGCTTTCCCGCCGAGGTGCAGGGTTCCAACGAGGCGAGGGATGCGGAGCTGGGGGAGCATGGAACCAGAGAGCCCGGCCCGGTGTCAAGGGAGGCTTCGTGCTTCGAGTCGGCAACTGAACTACTAGTAGCATGTTGGTTCAAGCACTGCAGTCTGGTACGCTCTGCACGCTCTCTGGTGTCGCCCAGAGACCTTCGCCTCCTCGTGTCCATGCTCTTGCTGCTCGCCCGAGCCTTCCCTGTCGCTCCATGAGTGAAGGGGCCAGGCTCGCAGAGCCAGCCGGAAACCTGAAGCGGCCGGCGATTCTGGGATGCCTCGCATGTGTCATCGCGGATGTGCGGGGGCTTTGGCTGGAGATCTGGAGCTTTGCGAAGCGCTCCGCGGCAGCCTGCGAGTCGGGCCGCACCCCATGGATCCAGGCTGCCTTCACAGGCTGGTCAAGCTTGTTTCAGCATGCCCGTCCTGACGCTGAGATGCCGATGTCGGAGGCCTGGCAACCGGCACCTTGGCTGCCGTGGTCGCGGTGGCTGCGGCTAGTCGGCCAGTGGCAGCACCTTTGGCAGGGAGCTACTGGCTTACACGCGTGCTGTCGACGCTCTTCTCGAAGGTTGGAGCACTTGCATCCTGTTGCTAGCAAGTGATGACTGCGCAGTCTGACCGTGATGAGATTAATTGGAATGCTGAAATTGAAATGTATTGCGGTACTGACGGAATATGCGTAACAGTTAAAATATAGTAGAAGCAGCAGCGCCAAACAGGAGCATGAGTGACATTATCACGGGTAGCCACAGTGGCAGCAGTCGCCGGGGTGGTAGTCGTGGTGATGATGGTAGTGGTGGTGGTAGGAAGAGGACCACGGTAGCAAGAACGGTAGCAGTTGCCGCGGCAGCAGTCGCTTTCATTATTTCGATCATTCCAAGTCTCCGCTGGCTCTCGGCGATTCTCTTCATCGCCTTCCTGGTGGCACTGAGACAGAACAAGGCCCATGAGTCAGGTGGCAACATGATCCAAAAAGCGCTCCAGAGCTCTTCTGAGCCCCTGCTCTGTTCGGAAGGCGCTGATTGGCGACGACGGCATCCTCCCAGCGCGGCAATTGCTGAGGCGGGTGGACGTCTCCGTCGCCCGAACTGCTGGGAACTGGCAGGAGCTGAGCTTTCTCGGCAAGGTGGGCGACAAGCTTCAGGGGGTAGAGATCCCACAGCGCCCTCAACAGGTCCTTCAGGCGCCCCCTTTCTGCAGGTGCGCTGCTTCGTCTTGCGTGCAGAGCGGCTGCCCACTCTGCTCTGGTTTGCTGGGGCCAGGCCAGATGTCAGATCTCGGCCTCATCCCCTCCATGTAATATAGGGGCCTTAATGATTAGAATAGGGTGTTGTGGCCCAGTATTACCAATAATATTATTCTGGTGGTTCTTTATCAGAATTATAGTATAATTGACCCCGCTCCAACTGCCCGTGGTGTGGTTGAGCGGATTCAGGTTCATCTTTTTACGCTTACTTGGCTTGGCAGGCCCATGGCAAAGCATACCCCGTCCCTGCTTTAGATTTCCGGGAACGGGTGAAGCATGTGTGCGGTAATCTCGCGGACATTGAGACTGTCTGTGCAACTTCGATGGAAGCACTTGTTTCATCTCGATGCTTCCTGGATGTTGCAGGTAGGCGCCCGAGGTCCCTCCCCCCACAAAATTCCGGGAGCTGTCGAAACACGAAGAGGCCCTTGAACTCGTGGCTTCATGGCCTGGCCTGGGCCGGCTTGCTGTTATCAGGAACTGCCTTTGCCGTGGGATGCTCGCCTGCATCGGATGTTTCGGCGCCCGACGTCGCTTTTCGGCATAGCCCGGCTGGGAACAGCCAGGTGGCGCCTCCATGCTGCACCTCTTCACGCTCTGGATACTGTACATCTCGCTGGTGGCCGTAGGCGCAGACCCTGCCTGACTAGTATTTATGGTCACTCTAAGCACAACCCTGAAACTCACACCAGGTGAATGAGTCTAGCCCAGCTTTCCTTCAAGCCAAGCTGGCCCTTCAAATTACCGCCCGAAGCCGATGCAGCCTGAACCTACGAACTCTGCGTCTGCAACACCGTGAAACCTCAGAGCAACATGTCCGGCAACACTCGAAGCAGCACCAAAGCTCCGAAAGCAGGGCAGCGCTGGTACTCTTTCGGGTGGGAGTCGCAACTCCTGGAGACTACCTTGCTCCAAGCGCTTGCTGCACCGGCTTTGGCAGGCGGCACTGGGAAGTGCGGGATGCATGCACGATGCGCCCTGGTAAATCCCCGGTACTTCTGTATACATGCATGATGGATGCATGTACGTATATGCATGTATGTGTATGTGTCTGTGCACATGCACGTGTACATGTATGTGTATGTGTATGTGGCTATACGTCAACGTGTGTTGTGTATGTACGAATGTGTACATACACGTGTTTGTGTACGTTTATAGGTATATGTACAGGTAGCTGCATAGGTCTGCATGTACAGATGTGTATATTGTCTATATCATAACTTATCATCTACAGTTTTTTGCCTTCGAGGTGGAGCCATGGCTGCCTCTCCCTCGATGCTCGCACCCTGGGCCTTTCGCTGGCTGGCCTTCCGAATCATGCTGGGGGCGGGGCTTATCAAGGCCAGCCTCCCGAGAGCGCTAGTCATGCTATAATATGCATGTCTATATAGATAGATAGATAGATAGATAGATAGATAGATAGATAGCCGAGATGAACCAGGACAACAACGCGGTACGAGTATCAAAAATGCCAGGTGAAGAGCGTTTGCTTGTATTGCTTTTCCACTTGACGGCATGTGGGAGTCAGCGAGACAAGGCGTATCCTTGAGCACTTGTGCAAACGCGGTAGGCTCGTAGTCACTGGTCAGCGACGGAAAACACCGGCTTCGGATTGCAGCTTGGATCATGGATCCCTAGACATTTTCAGTTTCTTCGCACGCGCACACCCAGATATGGTTTAAGTCATGGAGCCTGAGGCTGGTGCAAGAAAGGTCACACAGGACTGGATAATGGTAGATACAGACGCATCAGCGTGACACTTGCATCTGACCTCGGAATCGACAACCAAAAGTCTTAACGCGGAATGAACACCGACTGCTCGTCCCTCTCAAGAGAGTTACTCCTCCACTTGCCTTGCTCCTCGAGTGTGCGCTGCTTGAGGATTCTCAACGAAACCACCCCATGTTTCGCCACATCTTCCGTGACTCGCTTTCCACTTGGTCCTGCGAAGAGGCGAGGGGATCAAAGACTTGGCTGGACCTCACTGCGATGTGCCGGGGCCAGAGCGAACTTGCTATGTTTTTTATGACGTGTGATAAGTGATAAGATACAGTGTCACAAGCCCTTGGCCCCAGTTTGGACTTTGAGGTCACCACATCGAGACGCAGCCCATCCCCAATCCATTGTCCCGCAGGTTTCACAACCTGCCTCGTCGTTTGCATTTGTATGCAACTGCCTCCAACCACATCATCGAGCTTGTGTTCTCTGGCTATTATGAGCTTTCGTGGATGCTCAGAAGTGATTAGACGTCACGGCCTTAACTCAGTCGTCACCGATACGAGGATGCCCTGGCTGCTGCTCTTTCCATGTCGGCCTGCGCTGGCGGCTTTCGGTGCAGTGCACATTCTCTTTCAGCCTCCCGACGTGTAGTAGATGCAAGCACGCAAGAGATTAGCAGTGGGTCTGCAGAATCGAGGGCCTTCGTGAAGTTGCCATCGTCCGCCAGTGCGATGTAAAGGGATTTCATACCATGCTCTGTCTCAGGTTAACACTCATCCTCACTGGAAACCTGTCCTTTCTGAACTGGTTAACGATTATACCTGGGCTGTGGTGCTTTGATGATGCCACCTTGGTGGGCCTTCTGCCAGAAGCTTTTGCACAGCCCCTCGCCAAGCGAGTCCTCCATGCCAGAGCCGTGGCAACCCCTCTGAGCAGCGTCACCTGTCATTTCGCGCGTGACATTTTGGCTGCCTGCATTATCGCATGGCTTTCACTGCCAGTTTGGAGGAACCTCCTTGGCCCTCGTGGTGGAGGCCGTCAGCGAATGAACTCCACGTTTGAACGGCGAGTGGTGCTACCGCGCTTCCTGCTACGTCTTGGTGCCAGAGGCGAAGCCGACGAGACCTCAGCGACGAGTCAGTCGTCCTCACCGGCCCAGAAGAGGCGACGGCTTCTACCTGAACTGGAGATCAGCATGAACCTGCAAAGCCTGCGGCTTCTGAACACATACGGCGCATTTGGATCTGTGAACACGGAGCGCATCGAAATTGTCTTTGAAGGAACGCCGGACGGCCGCAACTGGTACCCGCCCCTGGGCCCATGTTCTTCATAGCCAGTCTCGCTTCTCTTTTCCACTTTGGGCCAGTCCAATACATAAGAGTGAAGACAAAGGTACACTTTCAAGGCAGCAGTTGACGATCCCATGAAGCGGCCTGGCTTCCTAGCACCGTACCACCTCCGGCTGGATTGGTGCCGTCGTCCGCAAAAAGGGACCTCTGGAGACATCGAGCGAACTTAGGGTCGTGTTTATGGATGTGTAAAAGTTCATGTTTGAACAGTAGGAGATCGGGCAGAAGAGAGCGTTCCAAGATGTTCCAAGCATGGCTTCTAAATTCCAGCTCTTTGAAGGCATTGACTTCCTAGGGACTGCTCCTTCTCGCATCCCTTCTCGCATCATCTTTGCGAGGAGTAGGTCGGGTCATTTACGTCGCGTCAGTCTACGTCAATGCATGAGATGATTTGACGGAATCTGGCCAGGCTTGTTCTTATGTAAGCCAGTGGACCCTGGGGACTGCATGCAAGTCCCCACTTGCAGCCACCACTTGCCTTTGTGCTCGCTTGTGGCACCACAGCCGGTTGCTCGTCATCCTGGATGCTATCAATGGGATTGGATTTCTGAAGGCATGGGTACTGCATTTTCATCCACTGGCCGAGTCTGCTCGCTGTCGCCTTCGGCACCAGCTTGAGATTTTGATGTTTGTCCAGTTAATACAGCATTTGTTTCCTTTTCTTTTCCTTTGCCGACGTCGCCGTAGCTCAATGATTTGCGGAGGTCTGTGTCAACTGCATCAGCATCTCTTTTTCAGCATCCCTTTTTCAGCTTTTCTGGTACCAAAGCAGCACTCCGGCTTCAGGTGCCGATGGATCGCATCTTGCCGTGGGCGCCGTTCCAACGGCCTAGCGGAGCCCTGGGCATCTGGGCGATTTTCTGGAGGGGTGAAGGTGGTTCCTGTGGGTGCAGAGGTTAGGGATCGGGCTGTTGTGGCCGTGGGGTGATGGGATTTAGTGCGTCTTGCATGTGGATCGCAAGATCTTTTGTGCTGTCAGGTCCTTAGTTTTGTGGCGCACCTTCTGCGGGGGGACCCGGCCACTCGCAAACTTCTGGCCAAGGCTGGGCATTGAGAGAGGTTGAGACTGCTCTACGTAGGTAGCTCCAAGAAGGCATTTCGGATCATGAGTCGCTCAGTTGCTCTTATTGCTACTGCCTTCGTTGCATCGTAAGTACCGAGTTTAGTTGGAGTACGCAAGCCCTTGGAAATCTCGAAAGGGTGGAGATCCGTTCGAGCGAGCCGATCCACCAATGCGTGTCCGGGGCGAACTCTACCAGCAACGCAGCTGCATGCCACGCTCGAGTGGCAAAGTTACTAGAGTCCTAGAGCTTGTGTTTTTTCTTCGGGGCCTATTCAGGGTGATGTGAGAATCAAACGGCAGACACTTCTGTTGCTTCGATGAGCAAAACGGCTCCAGATCTCGGGCGCTGTCGTACATGTCACAGAGTGAGTGCAAGGTATGTCTTCGCGCCACGGCCACGCTCGCATGCAGCAGCTTGCTTGCATGCTTCCGTGTCAGAGCAACGCAGAGTGACGTAGTTGGGTGATCGCTGTAGCCAGTGTTTTGATTGTTCTTGGTTCTTGGCTGTTCATCATACTGTAGCGCTACAGGAGCAGGCGTCTCCGACTGCAGTCTCGCTTTCGATCTCTGTCGCTGGATTTGCGCCGTGTGATTCTCGCAGCACTGTTCACAAGAGGGGCAGCCGGATGTCATCTTGGCCAAGGACCCGTATTGGCTTCGCGAGCGTGTCGGCAAGTACTTGCCACCACTTGGTTTGGACGAAGTCTCGGAGAGGCTTGTGGATCACGGTTTGCTGTAGATGGGGTCGTTGCCGCAATCGTCACGCCGGATGTGCCAGAATTCGAGCCGTGGGACATCGGAGCTTGGCTCGGCCGCGGGTGCGGATCATGCTGCCATGATCCATCGAATGCCATAGCCTCATGCCGAAGTAAAGCTGACCAGGAAGGTCATGATGCTTCCATACTACCTTCAGCACCCTCCTGCTAGCATGTCTACAGGCATCTACTCATACGGAGGATTCTCCCCTTGGCGTGCAATGCATGTACGGTGCGGAGACTAGCTCATGTCCATTTGATGTGGCCATCTCACGGAGTAGGAAATTTCCCGTAGTACAGTTGACGATCATATGCTACATCATACTGTTGTTTCGTTCCCGGCTCTCGCCCTACCGCCTTGATAAAACAACCCCTTTACCGTACCCGTTACGATAGTATGTTAGCAGACCTTATTCTTAAGCCTTCTTATCATGATATGGCTACCTGATGGCTAACATTATGGTGAGGTCGTGGTTCTGATGTAGCAGCAGCGGCAACGATCCTGGCCGTGGCAACAGTCGCCGTCACCATCCCCAACTCATTACCAGAAGCCTCACCGTCGTCATCTTTTATTTCGTCATCACCATCTTCCTCATCTTCATCTTCATCTTCAGTATCATCATCATAACCAAGTAGCATGTACATTAACATCGTTCAACAGCATTATTCGCACCTACAGCACGATCTGTGGTGGTCTTCGCCCTGGAAGTATCTGTGCTAGGCCTAGCAGGAGGTTCAAGACCGCAATCTTGTGCTAGCTGAACGTCTGCTACGACAGATAGTCCTGATGCTGTTATCTTCCGGGCTGGCCAGGTTATGTAGTTATTCGCCTTATTTCCAGTTTCAGCTCGGTCGTAGGATGATCGTCTTCGCAGGCATTGGCCTTTAAGCTCGGGTGATCCCAGGACGTTATTGACTGCACGTGCTCTAGGATGTCAGGCTTGCTCCCCTCGTGGTCTGGCGCAGGAGCTCAAAGTTTCCAGTTTCATAATTCCCGGCATTTGCCACATTTGATGCGTGCCGTCTATGTCGCCGGGATACCGAGTTCTCGAGCAATGCGAAAAGTGCGGCGACATTGAAGGGTTCTGGTTTCGTAGTGGGCGTAGTTGAGGCTCGTGCCTGCAGTGTAACTTCAAACAGCTTGCACGCAGCCGCAACAAGTCAAGTTGACCCTCATTGTGTTGACAGGTTGGCGTTCAGCTTGTTTGTGGCACCAGCTGTGATTCTGGATACAGCGTGACGGAACCTTCTCGGCCACAACTTGCCCGTGGCAGGATGCCGGGATGGCGGCCAGGGAGATGCGCATCATTTTGAATTTGATCTACTTGCAAGTCTTGTTCAACGTCGTGGGCTCAGAATCATTCATCAGAGCAGGGTGGCTCTTGCAGCAGAGTGTCAGGAGCAAGATCCCGACTTTGTTCAGTCACTGGGGCGAGGCCGCTGACTCGCAAACGAAGCTGAAGTAGGGCAATTACAGCATGGGGCTGGTCTGCCTGGAGACTGTGAAGCTTGCCATATGAGGACTTCGTGCCTACGGCTCCCATGCTAGAGATGCTCGTCGACACGGCAGGGATGCTTAGTGCAGCATGATGCGACATGTGATCGGGAAGCCTTCGCTTGCAGCTTTAGCTCGCATCCGACATACGTGACTTCATTGATTGTCCAAGCTCGCATGATGCGCTCCATGGACTTGTGGTTCGCAGATCCGCACGGATCTCCTTAACGACCAGCGGTTTATTGCTGCGAAATAGGTCTATACTCTAGGCCCACGTAGATGATGCTTTTGAGAGGTCAGGGATGCGGCGACGTGGCAGGCCATCAACAATCGACTTTTTACGTCTGTCCTCGGATGCCGCTCATACTCCACTGCCCACCCTGCCCTCCTCAACCCTGCCCTGCCACAGCCTCGGTTCGGTCGAGGAGTTTCGCTGAGACAAAGCTGCAGAAGGCATACGCTTGGTAACTCCAAGCTGCGGAAGTCGGAGCCGGCTCGATGCCGGATGGGCCACGATACGCAGGACCGATAACTTCTCCGCCTGTTCGCGATGTAAGTAGCTACAGCACGGTGACTCGGTCCCTTCCGGCTATCACGGCGCATGGCTGACGTGCGTGCTACCAGACCAACCTTTTGCGATGGTGCTGACCTTGGACGCTGTCAGTGCTCTTTAGTGGAAATCCCGTCGCACATGGCGCGACATGCCGATGTACAAGACACATACCGAGCAGTTTGTACACGTCATGGACTCTCAAGCTCGCAGCCTGCCAGCTCTCTAACTTCCTCTCTGCAGTCCATTATCCGTCGCCCACTGGACGCGAAAAGACAAGCGCCTGCACGAGCTTCCAAGACGGCCACTTGCTCCTGCACGAGGCCACTCCACTTCGCATACAGGGAATGGTTAATTTTCCATTGATGTGCGTCTGGAGCGGGTGCTTGTGGAATTGAGCGTCTACAGGTGGAATGGCTGGTTTTCCGCCACTTGTGTCTCGAACGGATGCTTGGGGAATGGCTGGTTTGGACGTGCTGTGATGCCACTGATGTGTGTCTTGCGTGCGCTTGTGAAATCGAGCGTCTACACGGGTATTGGCTGGTTTCGATGTGCTATGGCTGCTATGGTGCCACTGATGTGACAATCGCATGGTTTTCCTTCTCCGGCGATGCCATGCCATATCGCGCGTTAGCTTGGTGATTGACTAAATTGTTGTGACTTTTCGGCACGTGATGTGACATTCGCCGGTTGGCGCGTCACCATGGGGTAAAGCGGTCGTGGTCCGATTTTCGACGGCGTGAGGCGACTTCAGGCCAGCACCTTGTAGCATCTTTGAACGGTGTACTCCCGGCATCTTGAAAACGATCGTTTTGCAAGCGACAACACCCAACGACAGGAATCGATCTTGTCCGCCCGCCATTCTTTCTGACACGCATAACAGCACACTCCATGCGAGAGCCGTACCTGCTGCTTCACGAGCAGCGTACGCTTCCGCGTTTGAGCTGGGGTGGGCTGCTCTGCTGCTTACCCTGACACCACCTGTTCTCTCCCCTACTCTGCCGAGCAAACCCTTCACCGGTCATCTGTCGAGAAGGGCATGATGCCTTCCCGTGAGGATCCATGACGCTTGCTCGTGTCACGCCGCTCTGCATGCTCCCTTTCAACTGGGATCGTGGAGTGATGCGCAGTGGGTAACAGAGGTAACCGAAAGCGTTACCGTCATGCTCGCCAGACCTGGTGCTATGCATGCTCCAAGATGCAGGGGCAAGATGCCGGTCCGCCGAGCTCCATACCCGGCGAACGCAAATTGCGGCTGTGTATCCCGTTTCTGCATGCGGGAGCAGGCAACCTGAACGCCGGGCGCAGCAAGCCGGGCAGTCAGATTAACGGCTCGGCTCGTTTGTAGGGCTCGGGTATACTTGCTGCGCGATGTGCTGCCAGTCGTGTCTGCTCGCAGTGTCCGAGAGCGACGCTCCCACCGCAACTCGCCACTGCCGCCGCTATCGGTTCTGCACACGGCGGCTTCAGGTTCCACTCTCGCCCCCGCACCGTGCGTCAGTCGATACAGTATTTTTGGATTTTTTTGGGTGGTGTTGCAAACCTCCAAAAAGTGGCAAACGCATGCCGCGCACTGCATTGAGCCGCGCTGCACGGCGCAAGCGCTTCCAGACCTACCCGGAACTCGAGAGCGCGCGGCGCTGTCGACTCGTTGTGGTCGGCATCGAGGTCGGCGGCAGGTTCGGCGCCGAAGCCGTGCAGTTCCTGCGCCTCCTCGCACGCCATCGCACGGTGTCGATCCCCGCCCACATGCAACCCGCCGCTGTCTCATCCTGGGTCGCGCGATGGTCCGGTATGCTCGCAGTCGCGGCTCAGCGCGCCTACGCGGCGACGCTACTCGAGCTGCCCCCGGCCACTACTACTACTACTACTACTACCACCACAACAACAATTATTACTTCTACTACTACGACGACGACGACGACGACTACTACTAGTACTACTAGTACTACTACTAGTACTACTACTACTACTACTACTACTACTACTACTATTACTATCACTACTACTACTACTACTACTACTACTACTACGACCACTACTACCACAACAACTGCTACGACATCTGCTACTATGACTACTACTACCACTACCACTGCTAGTACGGGTACTGCCACTAGTACGACGACGACGACTACTACTAGTACTACTATCACTAATACCACCACCACCACGACGACGACGACTACTACCACTGTTACTACTACTACTACTACTACTATTACTACTACTACTACTACTACTACTACTACGACTACTACTACTACGACGACTACTACTACTAATCCTACTACTACTACTACTGCTACTACTATTACTACCACTACTACTACTACTACTACTACTACTACTCTTACTACCATGACTTCTGCTACTACTACTACTACTACTACTACTACTACGTCTACTACTCCTGCTGCTGCTGCTGCTGCTGCAACTACTACTACTGCTACAGCTATTGCCAATTATTAGTCATATGATTACATTTATGGCTATTGTGTTTACGGTTATTATAGTACGTATAACTACTATTTTTCGTATCCAGAGGAATATATTTCCATTGATTGCTACAATCACTATGAGTCTTTGATCATTATTTCTTATTCAAACATTTTTTTTGCACACACCTTTTTGCACCTGCCCACTTCGTGTCAGGTCTGTGGGTCATACGGGAGATCTACTGCTACAACCGGGGTCGCAGCGGCAGGCGGCTCGGCCCATCGGCCTTTGCGAGGTCGATAATGCGGTCGAGCGGTGGACCTGCAATGCTGGTAGCATGCGGTGGTTGGGGCCATGGCTGGCCCAAGGCAGTGCTGGCAACCGCCTGTTGCACTGTGACAGACAGCATGCACCACCAGCGGCGCGTCCAGCCTGTAGCCGCTGCGGCCCGTAGGGCGGGCGGCTCTCTGTACGACCGGAGGCGAACCAGGTCTCGCACC